AATTACTTGTTGTGTCCAATATAAACATAAAGAATCAGAATCTCTACAAATCGTTTTGTTCTATTAGTATTTTTTTTGTAGCATTCCATTAAATATTTGGATGTTGAAATTGTTTTATTGTTGAAGTCTTTTTTTTTGATTAAAGTATTATTTAAATAGAAATTTAAAAATACCTCAAAACTGCTTCCCAAGTTTCACATGCTTTGGAACAATCTTTAACGAAAATAAATTTATTTTTAAAGAGGAGTATCCCCTAAGTAATTAAAAATTGTGTATTTATTTTTTTTCAAGTGATTATTTTGTTTAAATATTCCTTAATTTTTTCCCTCCAAATAAATACCTAATTTCCATCACGAACAGTCTTCGGGTCCCAGTTCAACAACAAAAAAGAATTTAACGCCCATTCTGCCTTTTCCTCAGTCTTCGCTGTCTCCAGATGCCGGATAACTGCAAAGAGACAATTTTTTATCTACTTAATATTTTCCTTCAATAAATTATAAAAATACTAAGCGTTCTTTATAAATACGAACATAGTGTCAGCACCAGTTCCAACTGTATATTTAGGTCCATAAGTTGATTACAATGCTTGAGCAGCCTGTACTGCTACACTACTTTATTATTGTACCTTTTAATTTAATTTTAAATTGATTTTTAAAAAATAAATTTACATCTTGTGTATATGTACGTAATGAATGGCCAAATAGATACATTAATACTAGTTGAGAACAACTTTAAAATAAAATTTTTTAAATAAGTGTAACGTAATAATTTTTTAAATAAAAAAATTAAAAAGAAACTTCTTATATTTATTCTAATTTTATTTATTTTTTTCTTTTTCCTTTCAAGCCTTTTTAAAAAAGCTATTTTAGTAAAGCTCTTAATTATTTAAATATATGTAGAAACCTATGCCATGTCATAAATGTTTTAATTCTTCCTTGCTGTTGAGAAATATTATCTCTAACTGATTGAATTTCCGGCTCTGAGAAAACAAAATTCCCCTAAAAATTATGAATTAAAAATTATTTTTTCTAATAGAAATCATTTACAGCAAATATTTCAGAACTGAAGAAAAACCAACTTGTCCAAAAAACCAATCAAAATTTCTATTTAAATCACCACCTTGACAACATTGAGTATTTGGAAGGGTAAAAAACCTGTTTAAATAAAATTTTTTGGATTTAATAATTATAATGATAAAATAAAAATTGTTCTAAGTTATTTAGGGATTGGCTAAAAATAATCATTTAAATATATAGCAAGCACATTAGCCCGGTTAACTAAAGATGCTGGTTTGCTCCTAATAACCTTCATTAGCTGAAAGAGATATAGATCTAGCCCAGTTCAGATTTATTTAATTAGTTATTCAAAAACTTATTTCCTATTTGAATATTTAATTAATTTCCTGTATTATTTACTCCCAAATTATTTATTGAAATTAAATTCCATAAATTTAATTACCAGTATTTATTTGTGTACATTGTGTCGGTAAACGATTTTTCCTCCAAATACGAATTTCTGGATCCCTGAAAATTTTTTAATTTAAAAATAAAAGCCCCGATTCTTCAAATAAACATACATAGGAGACAGTTAACATGTAGAGCATGATTTTTAAACAGGACCCATTTGAATAAATAGCTTTGGGCAAAATGATTTCTGAAAATAAAAAGAAAATAGAGTTATATAAAAAATACAAACTTTTTTAATATTTCAATCATTTCTTCACCTTCTTTTTCATATTCCATTTTTTAATATTGATCCATCCATTTCTTCAATAACAACTTTAGCACTTTGAATAACTTTCCTTGTTATTCAATTCATAATTGAAGGAGAAAGTTTTTCACATTTATCAAAAATAACACATCGTTCCACAAAATGTTAATGGTTGTGGAAATCTTTAATTGGAATATAGATTTTATTGGAATATACAAATTTTTAATAGATATTAAGAAGGAAAAAACCAAATTTATGAATCGAATGTCAGTGAACATACGATTCGATAGCTTTCACCCTACTTTAAGGTTATTGAAAACAATTTAACTTGTCTACGTAGTGGAAATGCTAGTCGCTATCAATCCTAGCATACTCACAATATTTAGAAGAAAAAAGGCTAGGAAACAACATCAAAGAAAACCTGTGCATAGGGTTCCTTTTTGCCTATCCATTTACCAGATACATAATTATTGGGAATGAGGAAGATATTTAATTTTCACTATAAATATGGCCAACTATATAGAGTCTAGGACGTACATTAAATAGAGTTAGCCTAAATAGGGGATGTCTGTCGAGAAAAATTTTTCAAAAACCTTTCTCCAAATAAATAGGTTCAGATTCAGAAGTACTAGGCCTTGGTGTATTAACACAAGCAATTGCCAATTTTGCACGAATATGTTGTTTAGCTAATTCTGCTGCAGCAACACAATGTTGCCTTTTTAATGTTTTCTTTTCTTCGTTCTGTTTTTCTTCTTTTTTGGGAAGTATTTTTGTTGGATTGGGTTTTTGTTCTTCTACAGCAGCTTTTTGTTCAGCCAACATTTAACGTCGAAGAATTCTTCCTTTTTTGATTAAAAATTTTTTTTGATTCTTCAAAACTTGGCATATATTTGACTCCTAATTTATCAACTATAATCACCCCATATTCCCAGATATCTAGGTATTATAAGCACATAATCTATGGTGGAATGGGGATGCTCTCTTCACGCTAGTATGCTGTTTTTTCTAGCTTTCCAGACAAAATATAACTTAAGACTGGCTGAAAAGGAAGTTTCGGATTCCTTTGGAAAGGTAATCGATCCCTTAATTTATAAATCCTTTACATACCCTTAGATTTAGAAAATTCCGTGAATTGTCTTTTTAGTAAAATATCCTCCCAAAAATTAATAAAATAACCTTAGTAATTTCCTGAGTTCTAATAGTAGCTTGTTCTACTTTAAATCGACTTCAGGCAATCTTAAATTAATACCAACTTTTGTAAGACCACGATTTTGCATTATTGCCTCAATAATTTCTCGGTCCATACAAAATATTCATCAATTCCTCTTTTGTTTTAATTTGAAAATGTTTAAGTAAATGCTCTTTCAGTTTGGATATCTGGAACATCTTCAATCTCGTCAATCATAGAATTGTTTAAAAAGGAATTTTCAAGCATTCCATGATCAAAACAGAAAATATAACGAATTGCTATAAAAAAGAAAATTAAAATTTTCAGAATTTAAATCATAGATGTGATATCAGTGTTGAGAAAAATCGGGTTGGGTTTTGGTAAGTTTTCTTCGGATCGCTTTTCAGGTAGAAAAAAGTCCGGGTTTCGGATCAGGTCAGTTAGCGGAATTAAGAGAGAAAAAGTTGAGTCAGACTTTGTCAACATTTTCGTAATGAAAAAAGTCTAGGTTTTGGTTGACCCGGGACATCCCTGATATCCAGTAAAAGAAAAAAATTTTAATTCAAAACCTCATGCTAATCCAAAAAGCACCGCCTTCATCAGCTAACAAATGACCGCAACCACCAACTTGAAAATACAAAAAATTGAAAAGCTAAGAGAAAGTTTTAATCAACTCCATGCACACGACCATCAGACTAAAAGGAGAAAATTATTCAAAAATAATTAAAAAATTTTTTAATACCTTCAAAAGACGACAAGTAGAACCAGTACCGGCAATTAGATGAACCAGTACCGGCAAGAACCAGTACCGGCAATAAGTCTTCAATATTTTTCTGAAGACTTTAGTTTCCAAAAATTTAGGTTTAATTACCCTAAAAACAAAATTAAATAAGTACACAAATAAAAAAATAAGTACACAATAAAATAAGTACACAAATAACTCAAAATCGATATTGCTAAACTAGGAAAAAAATTTTTGCTCGGGCATCGAACCGTCCCTGAAAATGTTTGGCTCTCAAATGTTTGCGCCGCGGAACGTCCTGAAAGGTTTTGGTTTTGTCTACTGTAGATGGGGGAGGGGGGGGGGTATCAATAGGATTGGGTACGATTTGAAATTATTGATTAGTTAGAACAGGACAGCTCTGAAGAGACTGCCTATTTGGGGAGAGAAAAAAATTTTTTCTCTGACTTCTCTCACCCAATAGGCAGTCTCTTCAGAGCTCTCTTGTTCTAACTAATCAATAAGTTAATAGGGGTAATATAGTAGTCATTTTAAATATGATTAATTGCCCTCCTTAATTACCGATGACCCTCTTCAGTAGGTGTAGTTCGGCGGCATAATTAAATATAAAAGGCATCAAAAGGAGTGAATTTCTGGAGGAGAGCGATTTGGGTTGTTCCAAAAAAGGATGATTAATGGGCTTAAAACCCCTTTAATCCCATAGGATTGTCGGCAAAATCAAAGGAAAATACCCCCTCTATAGGATGAGGTTTCATTTGACAGGTGACCAAATGAGGTGAGCGATTTGGGTATGTGGAGCGAAAAGGGTAGAAGAGCGATTTGGGTATGTGGAGCGATTGGGGCATAGTTAACTACTAGCCTCGTTCATTGAGCCATTGAAAGTATAAGGGTCAGGGTTTTTTCGGGATTGGGACTTTCAAAGTCTTAGCATTGTCCTCTTTAATTTTAGACTTAAACCCCCATCCTATTTAAATGCTAGTCAGCTTTATCTTCCATCTTTCTTAGTAGATTGTGCTGGGTTATCTTATAGTTAAGTCTCCGCCTGTGTTCAAAAATAATTTCAAAAATTTTCCCTCTCAAAAATCAGACCTAAAAAATTCAAAAACAGGCTAATCGAAGAAAAAGAGATCATTCCAACAGAAAGGCAAAAATTATCAAAATTAAATAATCAGAACACTATAGACGATAAGCAACAACAATTTATTCGTCGAGATAACATTGAAAATCGTTTAGATAATTTTGGATTGAGAATGGGAGATTATCCAGGATACAACGAAATTGTTGTTTTTATGCAGAGAGTGCACGACTCTCTTACTGAAAGTACTATACTTAGATCTATTGGGTCTACAGTTGAGGGAAGGTCAATTCAGGGAATTCAGGTTGGTGTTAATAAAGGAATGAACCAAAAAATTATCTTGATAAAAGGCGAGATTAATTTATAAAAATTCGAAAAATAAGTAAAACACAAGGTAGGATTGTCTTTGAACGTCGAAGTAAGAGTTGTAAAAAATTTCAAAAAAATTTTCCTGTATAACTGGAATAGTCCTGGTTGAACAAATGTCGGGTAGGATTTCATTATTTCTTTCGGATTGGGGATGTAATCCTGTCAATCACTGCTATTTAAAGTTGGTGGATAGTTGGAAACCTTCAGATATCCGAACCGGAGATTTCTCGATATCCGGCATTATTCGGATCCGAAGCTGCTAACCTTACTACTGTCACTCTAGAAAGATGTATAGGACTCTAGAACATAGAGAATTTATTTTAAATCAAGCTGAAAATAGTAAGCTTTAAGGAAGAATTTTGGAATATATTCCCTCACTCTTACTTATTCGTCTTTAGGTAGAAAATTGTTTTACCTTACTATCGAAAGGGAAGAAATCAAAACTTCAAATCAACGCTAAAAATTTTTAAAAATTTAAACAGTTTGGCCTTCCCAGTGACAGATCCCGACCAGTTGTTTGGATAGATGCCGGTATTCATGCTCGGGAATGGACTTCAATACACACGGCTTTGTATTTTATTTACTATGTCTCGTTTATTTTCTTTAAAATTTCGAAGGAAAAAATTTCAAAATTTTTTTTAAACAGATTGCAAATCAAATAAAGCAAGGAACGGATACTCGACTACTTAAATGTTTGGAAAAAGTTGATATTTTAATTTTTCCTTGTTTAAATCCTGATGGTTATGAATTTACTAGATCAGACCCGAGAAATCCTGCTGTGAGTTTTAATGAATGACTTTAAATTTGCTAGATGTGTTGTCTGAAAAAGCACACATTCTTTTTAAATTTACGTTTTTATTGGCGGATTTGAGGGATTAAGGAAAATATTGTAAAGCATATAGTTATTTAATTCCTACGGCTGTAGGAATTAAATAACACATCAGTCCGGTCTACTGAAGACTCTGGTTCGCACCCAGCCATCGAGCTATAGCCCATCTGATTTACTATAGGGGAGATATTGAGGAAAGTTAGGAAATTCTGAGTGATAAAAAGGAGACTTAAAAGAATTAAGAATGAACAAGAATCAGGAAATTTTCGTAAATATCCTTTAATGGACCGATATCCCACCATATCCCCTTGCTATAAATCCCCTGACTTTAAAAGTAAATTTATTAAAAATAATTTTTATTTTCAGATCCGAATGTGGAGGAAAAACCGTTCCAAAGAGCGTTGTGTTACTGACAGTCACAATACTGAACGTTGCTGCATGGTGTTGATATTAATACAAAATTTAAAAATTAAATACTATTCACAGGGTGTCGATCTAAACAGAAATTTTGCTTTTAAATTTGCTGGTAATTTTTTTCAAAAATTCTCAAAAAATATTTTTTAATAGAGGGCGGCACAAGCTTCTTCCCCTGCTCAGAAATCTATCACGGACCAAATGCTTTTTCTGAACCGGAGAGCCGCGCAGTTCGTGATGCTATAATGGAGGGGGATTTAAAGGGAAGAATTCCTGGGCTGATTTCAATGCATGCCTATTCACAAGTTCAACAATTTTTCTTTATCGATTAATCAATTTTTATCAATTTTTTATCAGCTCTGGATTTATCCGTACTCACACAGGAGACACTCGTATCCACCTGATGTTGAGGATTTGGTATGTTTAATGGGAAACTCTCGATATTAGACTCATAGAAACTGAGAAGTCGCTTATAACGGGAGTCAATAATAGTCGCTAATAACGAGCATTGACTATATTGAATATAGGAGCGGTCTATCGTTGGAACATTCTTCGATAATTATTATTTTTGGTAACGATACTAAAATATTGTATACTAATCCTCATCTAATCTACTTAATATATAAAAATGCAATAAGTATTTAACATGAGTTTATTGAAATTTTATAAGAATTGTGAAGAATGGCAAAAACGCTTGAAGTATTTTTGGATGGAGTAACGCTGTGCTCCAAATTCTCTGATAAAATTGCATAAAAATTTACGTTTTGTAAATTTAATAAAGATTGTTTCCCCACAGTGAATTTAATCCAAGATGTAAATTTTTCATTACCTTATTTAAAAGCTCTCTACAAGATCGTTTATTTCCCTCTGTATGATTAAAACAAGTTTCACGTGGCATTCAATAAGTCACTTTATATAATTTTGATCCACTCCTTATTGATACAAAGCAAAGAGACCTTTAAATCTCGAGTTATCACAGCCTGAAGTGTCTCCATTAGACACATGTCTTTTAACCTTCCTAATCTTTCAAAATTAAGAAAGCAGTTGCTCGTCGTGCAGTTACCGCCATAGGAGACAAATTTGGAACAAATTATCAATATGGAACAGGGCCCGAGACTATATGTTTCTTTAGTGAAATATTTTGAAGAAAATATTTTTCAGATGCATATACAGGAGGAAGTTCAGATTGGGCAAAGGAGACTGCAAAAATAAAATATTCTTACACTGTGGAATTAAGGCCTTCCTTTTGGTGTAAGTATTGTAAACTTATTTTTCTCACGCCTACCTAATCCTTCGAAATAGCTCCTGAAGCTAGCTCCAACCAGAGCCGGGGCCAAGAATTTGAATAAGTTCGGAGCCAATATCCAGAACTGATCAACATCATTAAGTAGGTGTATAGGGGTTGTTCAAGCCAATATTTTGAAAATTTTTGAGTCTTTTTTAACTTGCTGTCTGAACATTTCAACTATTTGGAAACAATAACAATTTTTTTCTAAAATTTAATTTTATCTATTAACCTACAGCTTGGAACGGCTTTGTATTGGACCGTTCTCAACTAATTCCAACAGCTAGGGAGACGTTTGACGGTGTTTTGATTGTTTTAGAAACAATTTCCAGTAGCGGCAAAGCAATTATAAACAATTCCTTTGGTAAAACAAATTTTAAAAATTAAAAAAAATTTTTGAAGATTTTCTTAGGCTCAGAATTTTCAGAATGCCAAAAAAAATTACAAAATTTTCAGAAATTTTTTAAAATTCCTAAAAAATTTTGAAATTTTTTCGAAAAATTTTCAAAAATAAAAATTTTTTTAAAGGCTCAAAACGTTCAATTTCTCCATTATTTCCACCATCCCAAAATTTCAACAAAAAAGAAAAAGCAACAAAATTATCAAGTTGTTTCGACGCTGTAGAACACTGTCCAATATGGATAAAGGCAAATCCACAAATTTGTAGTGATTCAAAAACTTCAATGTTGAGGGAATGTAGAAAATCTTGTAAATTTTGTTGATTTTAAAAATGAATTTTTAAGAAGAAAATTTGAAGAAACGGGCAAAAATCGAAAAAAATATTTTTTATTGAATTTTTGTTTAAATTTTTCAAAAAAATTTTAAATTTCAAAAAGAATGAAAATATGTAAATAAATACAAAAATTAAATCGAACGGCGTGTGATTATGTAAATTTAGAATACCGAGTGCTAGATAGGCTTCAATCTAGCTGCTCACACAGTCTTACGCTTTAATTTCTGCCCGCACACAGCTCAGGCTATACTCACAAGGTCTTCTCCTTATTTCTCTAGACAGTTAAAGCATGTCAGATCATCACAGCATTTGACGGTTCGTTTAAGTTTCCTCGGGATATGCCCGGCCGGGTCATTGCACCATTATTGTATTCATGTTCATGCTGTGGAAAAATTCATTGGATGGGAGATGGAATTGAACCATCATGGAATGAGCCCAGACCGAAGCACAACCGACTGTGCCACCATCCAACCCGATGATGGGCTAAATATTTGGCTTTTTTCTATAGCTAAATATTTGGCGTTTATTAGGAACACAAATTAAGCTGGAGAAGCAAAAAGACAATAAATGAATCGTTTGTTAGCGTTTATCCTAATAAACGCCAAATATTTAGCTATAGATTTCATTTATGCTGATATTTTTGCTTCTTCAGCTTAAATAAATGATCTTAGACTTCCAGCATCCAAGAATATAAGAGCCTCTTCTTTTTGTTGTGAGCGTTTGGGATTGCAAACTATTTCTGTAAAATCATTAGTCCAGATTTGAAACCATCTTCTTTTACAGCGTCTGTTTGTTCGGGTTGATTATTTAGATTGTTTCCGCTTCAATTGACGAACTTGAGGTTAAATTTGTTGGGACAGATGGGAAGTCTATTCAGATTTGTGCAAACATTCAGGTTTTGTTATTGATCTTGGTTGAGTACCTTGACCAGATTCTTGGCCTTGAGTCAAAAATAAATTAAGGAACATTAAAAAATGCCTCGAACTTGACTCTTCTTTCAGGAAAACTACCTACGAGAGTGTTTCGACTGGACAGTCTCATTTCTTAAGGAAGTCTTACGACGGGAAGAAAATTATATAGAAGTCTAAAAGATAAAATATAAAAATATTTATTTTCAATTAATCATACATTTTCAACCTTTTAGACTTTAACCCTTTATATTTATTGTTTACATTTTACATTATTCATTTCTGTCTCCTTAAGATTTCCTTTAAAACTTAGGCTTTATTTTTCCTTACATTAATAAACTCTAGCAGCGACCTTCAGAGCCTCCAATTTGGTTCAGCGAATCTGATGATACTATAGTTACTGCTTTACTTGAACAGCTCACTTAAAGTCAGGATGGCACAGGTATTCTGGCACAATTGCATATGCTGGTTCTCAGGCTTTGTACTGCGCATAATCTGACAGCGCCTGCAGAACTTGAGCGATTGCTCCGGTTTTTCTTTTAAATTTTATTTTCTGTTTATTTTTTATTTATTTTTAGATTCTATAGGCGCTCCAGCTGGTTCAGTAACAGCATCAGATCGTCTTATTAAAGAGATTAAGCAGATATATAGCAGTAATAATTATAAAAACGGTTTCAAGTAATTTTTTGTATTATCAGGGTTGAACGCAACCGGTTATTGAACGGTACCCTACGGTTTCGTTTATCGCCTTTACCCCCCTTTTATTAAGTGTTTTTTCTAGGCTATGTGTTAATGGACAAGGCATGTGAATAATACACACTTCCAGGAATACATAAAAGAAAAATTTCATGACTTTTGTTTCATTTTTAATTTTTTTTATAAATTTTTGCTTTTTTTTCAGTTATGGTATCCAGCAAATATAAACATATTTACAAAAAAGCTATGGACATCAACAAAAGCTCCGGTTTTACTGGAAAACGTTTGTATAACGAACTTGTGCGTTTATATGGTAAAGACGCTCCTTGCCTTAGCACTATGCAACGATGATTCCGTTCCAATATGTTTTTTTTCTTTTTATTGTTTTTTAAATTTATTTTTTATTTAGAAAAGTTAAACATGAACAACCACCAAGTACAGTTTCTTCGCCTTTAACTACTACAACCATTACTCCTTCAACTGGACTAATAGCTGGACCGTGTCTGAACTGCTGGAAGAGAATATTGAAATTAATCGTCGACTGCAACTATTAAGTCTTATCTTGGAGCACACAAATTCCACTGCATACGTTAATTGTAAGGAGGGGGAGGGTTTGGGATGCATTTTCAAACCTTTTCTTTTTTTAGTTTTGTACTTTTGGAAAAAAAGAATTTTTGAGTTAAAAAGGAAAAGAATTTTTGAATTAAAAATTTAAATTTTTACTTACATAGGGTTGTTGGCGACCGATTATAACCGGTACCCCCGGTTTTCGGTTTTATCTAAATTTTAGAAACCCGGTTTTCGGTTTTTGAGTTTTAGACAAATACCTGTTTTATTTCTGGTGGAATTTTTAATTAACTCACTCATTTTCACAAATTTCCGGTTTTCATTATTAAATTTGTCTAAACTCGTTTATTTTTTGGCAAAAAATTTTTTGCGTTTTTCACGATTGCTCTTGCGCTCACCTCTTGTATGTATAAAAAATCATGAAGGATAATTTTGGTTTACTAGAAGGTATAGCTTTTTTAAATATTGACAGCTAAACAAATAAATTTTCTAATAAAATGTAAAGAGATATTAGAAAATTAGAAAAAAATTTTTTATTGGATTGATTTTTTACTCAGTTTTAAAAAGAATAAAAGAAGAACAACAGTTTCGGAAGCAGAAATTCTTATTCATCTGAATTATACTGGAAGGAATTTGAGTTAACATGCGTTTAGGTATGGGTCTAGCCGTAACATAAAAATCGGAGGCGGAAGAATGAGGAACATAATAAAAAGCGGTAGACTGAACACCAGAGAGGAGGAGTAAAGAACCGATCTGATCATCAAAAAAAGTTACAGGATTGCGACCTCGTTTACCAATGATAACTTTTGTTGAGTGATTAGATCAGATAAGTCGAATTATAAAAATGATGATTTTTCTGAAAGACGGCCAATTCCAAAACGGCCATTCTTAAACCGCTATTCTAAAACGTCCCCTACCCAGTGAGCACAATCCAAGTTTTTAGAAATACTTTGAATCAATTGAAAATAAGGAAGTATTGGTACACACATCAGCGAGCCACCGAGAAGTTTGTGGCTCATGAAATTGAACCATGGCGTAAAGTTCCTGGCTCTGTATTTAACTTTCTAATATCTTTTTAGAAAATTTATTTGTTTAGCTGATAATTTTTTAGAAAAATTAAAATTAAATACTTTCTATTAAAATAAAACCTTTCTCATATGTATCTTATAATAATTTTTCAATATTTTATGCGTTTATAATCTTCCCATTTTTTCATGTTTTTTCGACATAACTCAACGGAAAAGTGTCCTTTTCGTTTAAAATTTTTTTGTAATTAAGTTACCGTATTATCTCTATTAGAATGCCTCTCTCCATTTGAATACCCCCCTCTAATAGAATGCCCCCCCTTTTTTTACTGAAATTTTTCTAAATATAAAAAGAAAATTAATCTAAAATTTTTTCAAACTTTAAAATTTACTCATCGAAAAATACAATGCCCCCCTCCATTTGAATGCCCCCCTCCAATAGAATGCCCCTTTGGAAGGTGATTGAAAAATAGAATGCCCGGGCATTCTATTAGAGATAATACGGTAAGCATTGTCACTAATTAAGCAATGCCACAGTACTTTTCGGTTAATTCATTTTATTTTATTTAGAAAAAATATCTATTTATTTTAAAAATGCAAAATAATTCTAATAAAAAATGCCAAGTTTGTGAGTGTAAAGAAAATGTTTGTTTTCATTATGGAGTTCGTACATGTAGGGCTTGTGGGGCTTTTTTCAGGTATTTCTTATTTTGTTTAATTTTAAAAAATTCTTTTAAAAGGCGTTATCTTGAAAACGAAAAAAAGAGTAAATATAATAAATGTAAATGTTTGCATAAACAATTGTTGCTAAAAGAGTCGAAAATTGAAAGAAATTGGGAAAAATGTAAAAAATGTAGACTTGATAAATGTTTTTCTGTTGGAATGAAAAAATTGGGTTTGTCAAAAATTTTAAAAATAAATTTGGAAATAATCTTAGATATTGGATATGTACGTCAAGATATATGCCGGGAAGCAATGGAAGAACAAAGAAATGAAAATAACGTAAATTTATTTTTTGAACAGGGAAAAGTTACTGTAGAATCATAGTTTTCACTAATCATTTTAATTTTGTTGATAAGGCTTAGATATCTGTTAAATAATTATAAGACAACCCTGCGAAAGATTGATTTTATTCCGATTTTAAAATTAAAAATTAGCGTAAAAATTGTATTAATGTCCCTCCTCAAATAATTACCTCGTCTGTTTAGTACCCCCTACAGCGAAAGGTTGAAACAATAATTACTCCCTTAAAAATAGTTATAAAAATAGTAACAGATATTTAATTAGTTTTCTAAAATAGCCTCTATTAATTACCCCGCATGTATTTATTACCTCCTCCAGCAAGGGATCGAAACAATAATTAACCAGGTTAGTTAATACAGTTTTTACGGTATTCATCCCCGAACCATAAACTAGTGGTTTTAAACTAGGATGGCAACCCGGCCCCCGAAACCATGACGAATTACTACTAACTGATTGTAAGAAAGTGGAAAGAATTTATATACATATTATATAAAATATACATGGGAAAATACAATTGTAATAAAGAAAAATGAGTATAATAAATTGTAACTAATGAATATCTCATTAATACGGTTATGCTTTACAGTATTAAATGGATCTAATCTACTCTCTACTTTTTAAGCTTTCAAATCACCCAATTGTCGACATATCCATCAAAGACAAAAACCTGATAAACTCAATTTTACCAATTATTGAAGCCAAAAAACGTATTATGCATGCATTTAATGACTTGGATGATATATTCCTTAAGGGCCCGATTTTCTTTGAAGAAATAATTTTAGCTAATTTTAACATTTTTAATCTAACTGATAATTTTTCGGTAAATTTTGATTTAATTTTTAATTAAAATTAATTTTATTTTAAAGCCAAATCCAATTCCAATACCTTTTGTTGAATTAAAAAATTGGGAATCTTCAGTAGAAAATGAAGGAATGTTTAACGATCGTTATCACAAATATTTATTAGTTGACAGACTTTTGCTGGTTTGTATAGCTAAATCTATGCCTGTTTTTGAAAAATTGACTTTATCTGATCAGGTATATATAATCTATATGAAGGTGATGAGAATTGTGAAGCAAATTTGCTTCAATCTTTTATAGAGGATTCTCAATATTTAATTTTCAAAATTTTATTCTCAAATTTAATTTTCAAAAATTTTTCCTTAATTTAATCCAAACAATATTTATTTCTTAAATTTCATTTTTGGAGGAAAAAGTGTTTCAAACAAAAGGATATTTTTATCATTTTATAACCCATTAAAATCTATTGTTTTTCTTTTTCCTTCTTTATTTTCCAAGTAATTCAATTAGAGCAGCTGTCACTAAAAATATATAATTTTAACATTTGCGTGGGCTTAGAATTTTTATCCTTAATTAATTGGTTTGTTTTCCTCTTTTTTAACACTTGAATTCCTTATTTTACTAAAAATCTTCTTTTTTTAATTTATTACTCTAACTTTTATAAATTTTATTATTTTGCACTTTCATGAAACAACTTTTTGATTTTTTATTATTTTTATTTTCTTCTTCTTCTCTTTATTTTTTGTATTTTTTGTATTTTTATATTTTTTTTACATTTAATTTGATTACCTATTTTCGGGCCGACAAACGTCGGCCCGCTACACATTAGGGGGTCCGTACAAATATGGTATATTCGGGGTGGTTTCTATTTTTAACAACGTATGTATAAGTATTGTGTTGAAACTAATTTAAATAACACTATTTAGCTGAGTGGGTATTATGACACTGGCAGTAAAATACACTGGGGCAGCGTGTATAATGAAAACCTATCTTGAGCCCTAGGAGATGGTCTCGGATGAATTAGTCTCCTATTACATCTTTAATAAGAATCCTTTTCTTCCAAATTTTATCTTTCTTATCAAACCAATAATTTCCTGGCATGTGTTCGTAAAGCATAGTCTTAATTGAATAATTTATAATAGTATATTTTTTATTACTGCATCGCCACGACTTTCCTTCCCTCCATTGAGACCAGTACTCTGTAGCATGGTTTTAGGTAAGTTTCCTGGTAGTTCAGCAGCCGGGGCTGCTGCTTGACTTTGCTTAGAAAAGACCCATACAATTATGATATATTCTGGGGCGGGTTCTATGTTTAACAGCGTATGTATAGTATAAGTGTTGTGTTGAAACTAATTTAAATAAAACTATTTTCTTTTTATAAAATAGATTGCACTTCTAAGGCATATTTCTTATGTATTTACTTCATTTACTGGCTCTTATCTAGCTTGGGAATTAGGATCTGAAACTTGGACGCGTAAAGATTGTGTTATGCCAGCTTTAGCTATTATAAAGAATGATTTATTCCTAAATGATGCTCGGTTAATCTAAAAATGATGAAAAATATTTCTTTAACTTTTAGAATGATTAAATGGTCAGAAATTTTATTTACAAAATCCGTTGCTCATTTTAAACGTGTTGCTTTAACAAAAACTGAATATGCTTTATTAATAGCTATTATTCTTACTAGATCGAGTAAGAAATTTAATATAGTGTAACATTAATATACAAAATTTTACTCATCGAGGTTTTAACTTGGCAATATTATAGGCTTGCCGAGAGGCTTATTGCCTAAACCCTTTTATTATTATATAATAAAAGTGTGGCCCCCGATGTAAAATGTTTCCAATGTGTGGGCCCAAACACTTGAATAATGGATGGATATGCCCGGGACTACCTAGGATAAACTCAAGGGTTAATCAGGCCCTCTGTTGATCTCCTTCACCTGACACACTCACACCTTTTAAATGAGTGTGAAAAGTGGGAGGGAATGAATAATAAGAAAATGGCTATAAACTATAGGAAACAAACTCCGAGAACTACTTTGACCCTTTAATTATTCACTATTCAAATTTTTTTAAAGTTAATTTAATTTAACTTAAAATTTTTCAAAAAAGGTGCTAAATGCATGTCTGTTGGAGGAAAGGAATTACTTTTAAATGAATCTAATAAATATACAAATATTCTACTTCGATATAATCAACAACGATTAGGTTTAGTTGAAGGGGCTCAAAGATTGGCTGAATGTAGCCGACTAATTTGCCGATGTATTGAAAATGAATATACTTATAGATTGATGTTTTCTCATCAACTTAAATGTTATTCAATGGGTAGGACTTACTATAAATGGTCAAACTTTCTTGAAAATTCATTGAATAAAAATGATTAAAATTGATGATTTTTGAAAAAATTATATTATGTATAATATCCTAACCCCTTTTACAGGAGCTAGTCGGCGTTGAGCCCCAGGAGTGGTAGCCACAGGACAAGGTCCCACACAGGCACCAGGACACCGGTCCCAGGACACCGGACCCAGGCCTCAGAACAACGGCCCCAAGTCACCGGCCCCAGGATACTGAACCCAGAACACTGAACACAGGACACAAACCCCACACTGGCCCCAGGACAGCGGAGAGTGGTAACCCACCCTTGGGGCGCGCCGATCCACCAAGTAAAAGGAAAGCTTTCTTTTTAACTTTAATTCAACAAATATATATATATATATTTAATAAAATATAAGGGAGAAAGAACCGCCAACCCTTTGTCGGAATTGAGATTGAACGAATGAACTTATTTGGCCGATTCTTTCTCTCCTTTTATGGGGCATCGTTGAAAATTTTTTTCTTAACTATGACATACCGGAAATCTTCTAATAAAAGCACATTTTAATAGAACACCTCTAATACAAGCACACCCTACGAGGGTATCGAAAAATAGTAGGACTGTGTTTTTATTAGAAAATTTACGACATATGAATTTTTTCTTTGTATTTTTTAAATTTATTTCTATCAGATAAAGATATATCGTATCGATCTAATCTTTACTTAATATGTAAAAATATATTTATCATTTTACTTATATTACAGCTAAAACACAATTTTTGTGGAGGTGTTTTTTTTTCGGTAGAATATTTTTGAAATGGGTTTTATTAATCCTAAATTATTTAAAACTTTTGTTTCTACCGTTCATTTTTATGTATCACTTGACCATTTAACAATTAGTTAATTGTCGAGATAAAATTTTTTAGATAAGACTCAATGCGATTTGGTGCAATAATACCGTAAATGTTACGATAATTATCCTGTATAATTATTGTTCCGATCTCTCGCTGGAAGAGGTAATTAATAGGGAGATGGTAATTATTTGATAAAGGCATTATTATTTCGGACTATGTAGTTATTATTCTATCATAGGAATAAATTTCGCTCTCGATCAGCGACATTTTCGACTGATATCTCGTCCCGGTCTAATCATGGATACGATTGTCTATTCCTGGAACGGACTAAAAATCCGTGGTTCTTCGGCTAGATTTCTGAATCCAATCATGAAAGTTGGCAAATTTAAAAATATTGTAAGGATGATTCACCTAGTAGTAAAACGCTTAGGCGGTGTTTAAACGATCTAAAAGGATAAATGAGAAAGCATTAGTCGATGCCCCGGTAGCTCATTGATGCTCCTGCATGTGGAGAGCGAAAGCTCCTAGCAATTACTATGAGGAAGTCGCAGGTTCAATCCTGCTCGAGGGCTAAATTTTTCTTTTAACAAAATACAGAAAGTTAAGGTACAAGAGCTACAAGAGCTGAGATCGGTATTTGAGCTGTCGATCGAGATCTCGTCTCGGTCTTATCATGAAATAAGGTTTTTGCTAATCATCTAATCATGATGGTTAGCAAATTAAAAAATATCATTCAAATATTTTATTCAATTTAGTAAAATAAATAAAAAAAATAAAAACGTATAAAATCAATTTTCCATATTTTCTATTTAATTTTTTCCTTCAAATTAGTATCCAAAAATGGATGGAAAATAATAATTTACGCTGTTAATTTGCCATTTTTAGAAATTTAAAAATTAAATAAAAAATTTTTAGCAATATTTTATTTTTAATTCTACTGGTTTTTGCAAAATTAAATATTTTATTAATGAAAATATTAAATAGAAAAATAAAAATATTTTTATTATTTGCTTTATCGTTCAATAAATACCCAAAAATAAATTTTAAAAATTATTTTTATTTACTCATTTAATATAAAATTTTAAAAAAATAAATTAATCTCTACTCTCTAACGCTATTGACAAAATTTAATAAATTAACTAAAATAAAATTTAAATTTATTTAATTAACATGAGATTTGTCTTATCCTTCACCTACCAAGGGGAGCTGGTATGGTTTTATGCGCCTTAACGGGCTGAATCGAAACATACCAAATCGTCCCGGTTTCGATAATCTGAGATAAGTTGGACTTGCGGTAAGGTGGGGCATCTCCTTCACCAACCAAGTCTTTATTTTGGAGCATAACTTTTTTGTTACCCAACCGATTTGTGTAATTCTCATATTTTTCGAAAGCTCTTTAATTTGCGGATTAATATTTCTAACAAATAAAATTTGTTGCTATTATTATGTTAATATTACCAGTGGAAAATTTACATTAAAATAATATCAAAAATAACGATAGCACGCATTTCTCTGAACATCACTTTATAATAAATAATTTGATCAGAACAATCCTATTAGGCATAATAATCTGCACATCCAGAGCTTTCCAATGGTATAAGAATTATTAAAATCTGTTGAGAATAAAAAAAGTTAGGATCCAAAATAGAACGTTGGGACTCAACCAGGCAGAATCGTGTCTCTCACACCACAAATACCCAAAGAAAAAATTTTCAAAAATTTCAGAAATGTTTTTAAATATTTTAATAATTAATTTTATAATTCTAACAATACAACAATTCGTTGTTGTTAAAGCAACAACTTCAGGCTTTGACACTGTTCAAAATATAAGTACAGAAACCTTCACTCAAGCTAAATCTTCTGCTGTAATTTTTAACTTTTTTTTAACTTAAAAAATTATTTTTAAAGAATTTTTTTATTGGGCGTGTATTTAATGGAGCTCTTTTTGATATTCCAAGTGACGGGCCTAGTCTGGAAAGTGCAGTAGATCAAGCGGGAATTCAAAATATGCTTAATGCTAATAGTGCAGGTATTTGAAAAAGAATCCTAAATTAAATACGATTCTGTCATCTAAAGTGATGTAATAGTTTGATTAGAGTTCAACAATGTATTTTACAAAATTTAACCAGCTGGAAGCACCTTGAAGCGTTCAAGGTATTTGCTAAAAGGGTTAGGTTGAGTGCCGACCGGGACACCGTTATTAGCTTAACGCAACAAAATGTCGAGGCTCATAAACTTTAGGGAGTCATTTGCAACTCCCTATCCATAAATAAATTTCTGAATGTATGTACAACAACACCTACTGTGTAGATAATTTAAAATAAACTTAAGTAAAATATTAATTAATTTTTTTATATTAAATAGATTTTATATTAATTCGTGAATTATCCATTCTAACAATAAGTTTAAAAAATCTTTAGTAAAATAAATTCTAAAGTGATCAACTTGTTTATTCAATTTCCTCTCCAAGATTAACACAAAGTACCGCCAAATCTGCTTATTTTTTACCAGATTTGATTTAAAACTCTGCTGAAATGGAATACACGGGATTTTTCGATAAAAGGAAATATCTATCTAGGAAAAAATTTAAAAAAGATGAAAAGGTAGGATCAAATATAGGAGATATAAAAAAGCTAAATTCAGTGAATAAGAATAAATTGTATCCATAATTCTTTAAAGGTTCGGAGCCGTTCTACTTAATATATCAAAATATATTTATTTTATTATTTATAATTTATTTCGTAAATATTTATATCATGATTTTTTTTATAAGCCGTCGTATTTTTGGATAGAGGGTTTTGTTTAACTATCTAAAAAGATTTTTGACTTAAGCGTTATATGTGTTCGGGAGGGTTATGAAAATTTAAATTTTAATGATTAATTGAAAGCGAATTTCAATAGGTAGCAGGCGGATATAACTAAATGAAAAAATTTTCTGACCGTAATCAGCAGTCCTCAATAGCGTTATCGGTTCCTGGAAAATCTTCGGATATCCTGAACCTCCTCGTTTCTTCTGTTCAACTTTAAATAATGGTCAAGAACCTTTCATGTTTAGGGACCAGTAACGAGGAGGGGGTTGAAATGACCTCCTTATAAAGGAAACTTTTCTCCTTATAATTTCCATTTTTTATAGGCCTGGATGTGGATGCCTATTTTGTGCCTCGTTATGCCCAATTATACGAAAATATTGATGCACAGGTCATCGTATTTTATTTAAATTTATTAATTTTAACAATTAGATTGACTACACATTAAGAGCTATAAATGACGCAAATTTGCAACTAAAAACTATTTGGGTAGTAATTTCAAGTAATTTGCGTTCTGGGTGGACGGAGAATGCACAAAGTAATGTTGATTGCCTAACTCGATTTTTGACTCAATTTAAGGTAAGTTATTTTTAAGGGTGATGAGGGTAAAGTTAATGAATAATATTTAATTTTAGAATATTAATAATAATATCCAAATTGGAATTGCGACACGTCAAGACGAATTAGAAGATATCACAGGGACGGCTGGAGATATAGGCGCTACCAAGCCTAACGG